GATGGGCCACTCTTTACAGTGTACAAGCAGGACAAGTTTACAAGGGTGAATACGCTGTTCCGCCTCTCCATATAGTCTGTTCTACCAGCGAGCTGACTGCATTGCTGCCTCTGGCTTGTTCTGCCAGTGTTTTCCAGATCATCTGTCCCCTGTTCACCGAGCAGAGTGATGAGTTCTGCGGGAAAAGAATTAGTCTGTCTTCCTGCTTATTTATGAAAATCACACTGAAAATAGACGCGGCCTATTAATAGCCTTTGTCCCACGAGCCCGGAGAGATTCTACGGTCAGATGATGAAGCCGTCCCACTGTCCAGCCTTTCGAGAAAAAGTGTCCGATCTGAAAACAGGAAATGACTCTGCACCAGCTTGTAATCTTTCAACTAAACAGACGTTTCCTGCTCTACTCGTTTTCTGACTCCTAGCTCTCCCTCCATCCCTTCATCTCTCCCTCCCTCGCCTCCTTTTTCTCTCGGGCTCTCTCTATCTCTCTCGCCTCGGGCTGGATGTTACATGAGCTTGAGACAGTGCTGGTCATGTCGTTCATTCTGCCTCCTGCGTTTTGCGACTCTTTTTGCGAGCTCTCTCATTTTCTTCTGATGTCTGCGGTGAGTTCTGGTGTCGTTTTCTCTCTTTTATACTAGAAAATAAGAAAAAATGCTGTTTGGAATGGACTTGATCCAAACCTGTCAGTCTTTTGCACACGAACAAAATGTGTTAACGTATGTGACAGATGATGTAACACGTTTTATTCATGGTCAACAGACTGAGCTGTCTGAATAAAGTTAATTAGAAGCTCTGTTGGTTTTCAGCACAGGCTAGGAGTCTTGAGTGCTGCGAGTCTTTGACTTTGATCCAGTGAAGGTCTGCCTGTTGCATCTTGCTGAATTGCTGTAACACCTTTGAACGAATTACCACACCAGAGCGCTTCATCACGCACCTCTCCACAAATGATGTTTTGCAATGCTAAACTGAGGGCAGATGACGCGTGTCATTATCTATTAGGTGTATTTTCACATGTAATGTTTGAACAAGTTTGCTCTGTGCAGAGGCGTCCTGGCTTTTAGCCCAATGTGCCTTGGGCAAAATCTATACTAAACGTCTCATCTATAACTCTGACAGGAGTAATAATAATACATACGTACATACACACACCGATCAGGCATAACATGTTGACCACCTCCTTGTTTCTACGCTCAGCTCCACTTACTATATAGGTGCACTTTGTAGTTCTACAGTTACAGACTGTAGTCCATCTGTTTCTCTGCATACTTTGTTAGCCCCCTTTTACCCTGTTCTTCAGTGGTCAGGACCCCCATGGACCCTCACAGAGCAGGTACTATTAGGGTGGTGGATCGTTCTCAGCACTGCAGTAACACTGATGTGGTGGTGGTGCGTTAGTGTGTGTTGTGCTGGTACAAGTGGATCAGACACAGCAGTGCTGCTGGAGTTTTTAAACACTGTGTCCACTCACTGTCCACTCTATTAGACACTCCTACCTTGCCAGTCCACCTTGTAGATGTAAAGTCAGAGACGATAGCTCATCTGCTGCTGCACAGTTTGTGTTGGTCATCCTCTAGTCCTTCATCAGTGGTCACAGGACGCTGCCCACAGGACGCTGTTGGCTGGATATTTTTAGTTGGTGGACTATTCTCAGTCCAGCAGTGACACTGAGGTGTTTAAAAACTCCAGCATCACTGCTGTGTCTGATCCACTCATACCAGCACAACACACACTAACACACCACCACCACGTCAGTGTTACTGCAGTGCTGAGAATGATCCACCACCCAAATAGCACCTGCTCTGTGAGGGTCCATGGGGGTCCTGACCACTGAAGAACAGGGTAAAAGGGGGCTAACAAAGTATGCAGAGAAACAGATGGACTACAGTCTGTAACTGTAGAACTACAAAGTGCACCTATATAGTAAGTGGAGCTGATAAAATGGACAATGAGCGTAGAAACAAGGAGGTGGTCAACATGTTATGCCTGGTCGGTGTAAATGCATGCAGAATGGCGATTTAACATATCTGCATAATTGAGATGTAAACAGAGAGATTCAGAGTGGTTTGGTGTGAGATGGTTCAGATGTCTTTACAGTGGTGGTGATAGGAACCAGGGGTCGCCATGACTACAGCACAAATATAGACATTTTATCTACTATCCAAAACCACCAGTGAACCTACACGTGTCTTCTGAGTTTTATATGTAATGCTGATGATGGTAAAACAGTAAAAAATCAGAAAACGACGTTTTCTATTTTGTCTCACAACGGCCTACATGTGTCTCTGCCGTGAATGGATTTAAAAAACCTCCTCAAAGCTCTTGTTATACGGTGTCTCAGATATCAGGCAGTGTATTCATAACTTTTTCATATAAGTTTATTTGAGGGAGATTTTAGAGGCATTAAACTCTTCAGATGTCTGGTTCCCATCACCACCACTGTGAGAAATTGTGACTCTTAGGTTACTCTAGAACAGAGTATTTCACATCAAACTGCTTTGAATGACTTTGTTTACATCTTAACTGTTTAATTTCAGTGAAAATTTGAGAACTAGGTGGAATTCCCCTTTAAAATAAGTCTACAAAGTGCTTTAAAGGAAGATTAGAACAGTTAGGTTGTGATACTGAAATGAACCGACGATAAAATTTGTTAAAGATCAGTCAAGATAAAAGACAAATGAGACGATCAGAATATAAGAAAGCAAAAAGAAATACAATAAATAAATAAACAAATACATGTAAATAAAGTCAAAATCATTTTACTGAAGACTCCAATACAGTATAGTATAACTGTTAAGGCACTGACCCTAAGTACGTATTAAATTTAACTTAAAAGAATCTAAATTACTTTGAATTATTCCTGAACATGGTTACCATAGTAACTGTAGACTCCCCGCCCTTTAGCTGAGTTTCTGGTTTGATCAGCAGATGTCCTTCATATTTTCCTGTACTTAATAACTGGATTCATTCTCTTTTATGTCTTTTATGTTGTTTTATGTGTTTTTAATAATGCCTCTTGTGCTGTGATTATATCTGTCTGTCTCATTATCTTACTGTCTGTCTGTTTTGACTATCTCACTATTTGTCTGTCTGTCTGTTTATCTGTCTGTATATCTATTAGGACCTGACCAATGATTAAAATGTTGTCATCGTTACTGTATTTAAGGAGCAAACAACTCAAATTGCGTATAACAGTCCATATAATTTATATTAATAATGGTAAAAAAAATACAATAATGATAAAAATCAAATAGATTCCAGTAGTTTTAGTAAACAGTGCTTTAGTGATGAAATTGTCTGTTCTCAACTAAAGATTTCTTTATCTCAAACAGCAGAGATCTTAAATAATGTAATTTTAAAGCAAACCACTTATAAATAACCTTAAAAGACCCACGAAATACAGAATTTCTCGTTTCTTCGAAGTAAGTTTGATGTAGTATGTAAACATGACGTTTCTGAACACTCCATTCGCTCTCCTGTCCATACAGTCCAAATAAGGAAACTGAGCTGCAAAAACAGCCTGATTTTGAATTCTTTGTTTTTCTGAAGTCCTGTCCACGTTTCAGGCCACAGCAGTTTACACCCACCCACTCATGTTATGAATAAAGTTATAAGGAGTGTTACAGCCTGGGCTGCCTTTTTAAATGAGACACAATACACTACAGCCAATCAAAACAGAGATAATGTACATATCGCTGCTGTTGGAACAAAATCTCGTATCTCCTTTCTTGTCATTTTTCAGTTTTTGACATAGTTTGAAAATGCCTGTTGCCCTTTACACTGTGTGTAAATTTCATGAAGAATGGACCAAACGGAACAACCCAAAATGACTTGGGTGGGAAAAAAGTCCATTGACTTACATTAAAAGTAAAGTATGTTTTTTTCTTCTCCTGTAAAGTCACCATTTTGGAGATACGAGGTTTTGATCCGACTGTAGAAGAATATCAGTCTTAAAAGCATGATAATAAAAAACAACCTGTTTAATTCTCAGAGGTAGGGAGAAGTTGGAAAAAGAAGTTTGGCTGTTATTGGTACGTAAATGCGTACAAACATCATAAGGGGGCCTCGGAGAAAGAAATAAAATATCACAGAAATGTAAAATATGAGCTCTTTCACATGAAAATAACAAGACCAAAGAAAATTATGAAAAGTAAACTGTTCTGCTTAATATAAGCACAAAAACATTGTCTATTGTTTAAAAAGGACACTTTTCTTGGCACAGAATCCTAAACTCAGCTAATTTCATCTGCCAAACTGTATATCTATTGAGCCTTCACTCTCAGAAATAAAGATAGTTCACTGTCACTGGGGCAGGACCCCTCTTGTCACTGGGGTGGAACCCTCAAGGCTCCATCTCAGTACCTTTAGTCAGGGAACATAACTGAACCATAATCCACTGAAATGATATGTTCTAAGCTGTACTGACTCCACACACCCCGTCTCGTCTCCAGGCTTTTATTTTACTGTTCTGTTTTAAAACATTCGGTTATGAAAAGGTACAAATACGAACTTTTCACCTGGAAAAACTTATTTAAGGTTCACAATCAGACCTTAAACCACTGTTGTACCTTTGAGGGAACATTTACATTGTTTGTACCTTGTTGAATGAAAAACGTACCTGGACAGAACCTTTATTTCTAACAGTCTTTCTATCTGTCTGTCTATCTGCCTCTTTTTCAGGGCTACATAGTTTGGACAAATGACCATGTTGCGATGTTTGCTACTACATATTCATATTACAGTAAGCCCTGTGATATTAAAATGCATTGGTGATTGAGCTGCATTAATTTCCCTAAATAATTTGGGGAAAAAGCCTTGATGTAGGTGATCTGTGGTTGGTCAGGTTGCTCACAGCACAAAGTGAAACATTCGGTGGTTGATTTGAGACTCATTTGCAGACTCAGTCTTCTTCAGTATGAGTATTTCTGTCTGTCTGTCTCTCTGTTTGTCTGTCTGTCTGTAACTCCTGTGACCCAGAGCGCTCTCTCTTTCCGTTCGCAGGTGAGCATTTCTCCACTGTAGCGTGCCAGAGGGAATGGAGGAGTGCGAGTTGTCTCCGGCAGGGAGGGAACAGCCCTGGAAGGCGGCGAGCCTGAAGAGGATGGCATGGGCCCAGAGCCGTGATTCCTGGCAGGCTCCAGAGTCTGAGGAGCAGAGTCCAGAGGAGCTGCTGCCCGCACAGGCTACAAACCACAAGCCCGGTCCGGCCGAGACAGGTACTGTACCACTCTACTCCTCTGTCGGTCCATCAATGCTGTACTGCAGGGCTGCACTATGTTCCATAGTGAGAAAGTATCATACTGCGATTATACTATATGTTAAGTGTATAGCTTAAATTTAGATTAGATTAGATTAGATTCAACTTTATTGTCATTGTGCAGAGTACAGGTACCCAGCCACTGAAATGCAGTTAGCATCTAACCAGACGTACTGTATTATTTATATACCATGTGTGACAAACTAACCATGGTAGAGATGCTGGGGTTACAATATGTACAATTCAGGGCAGTAGAGTGGTTAAAAAAGTACAGTATATTAGAAGATGTTTGGTGAACAGTTAGAGTTATTATAAATATTTGGGCCAAATTTACATTAGTTTGATCTTACACTGTCAGAAGAAAATGTACTGAACTGTCACTGGGGCAGGACCCCTCTTATCACTGGGGTGGAACCCTCAATGGCCCATCTCAGTACCTTTAGTCAGGGAACATAACTGTACCATAATCCACTGAAATGATATGTTCTAAGCTGTACTGACTCCACACACCCCGTCTCGTCTCCAGGCTTTTATTTTACTGTTCTGTTTTAAAACATTCAGTAATGAAAATGTACAAATAAGAACTTTTCACCTGGAAAAACTTATTTAAGGTTCACAATCAGACCTTAAAACCACTGTTGTACCTTTGAGGGAACATTTACATTGTTTGTACTTTGATGAACAAAAAATGTACCTGCACAGAACCTTTATCTCTAGCAGTGTGTGAATGCCTTCTAATTCTTTGCGATGTGAGTTTTTAAAGGCTAATATTACAATGTTAATTAACAAAAGATATATTGAGCAGCTGTACTTTACCATTGAGGTCTTGGTAGGAGCTTAGAAGTGGAAACAGCATCATGGGATCAAGTCTTACAGCTTGATTCAGTTTCATGGAAGTCCTGATAAACCAATTAAATGTCACTTCTATTAGTTTTGTTCACCCAGAACTCTTTTGTGCTGCTGTTTGTGTGCATTTCAACAAGATGCTGCTCATGGGAGTTATTGACCTATAGAAGTCTAGAGATATTACTGTTGCTTTGCTACACTAACATGTAGTTACATAAGAACCCAAGTCTCTCAGTTTGAAAGTCCCTCCCATCCTGTACCTTAAGATCAAGTAATTTAGGCCTTCTTCATGTTCCAAGGTTGAAACTGACCTCTATGGGTGGTCATATGTTTAGTATAGTAGCTCCCCTGAAGTCTATTGGGATGCATCCACACTGTCTTTGTTAAAATCTCTGTTAAAGGGATATTTGTTCTCAACGTGCTGTCGGTGTTCCTCTTGTCTTTAAATGTGATGCCTACGTGGTGGTGATTACAAGTACCAGGGGTGCCCCAATCATACATTTTTAGGCTGATTTTGTTCTGATTATGATTCTGTTAAGACAAATTAGCCGATGATGCTTTGTTAGTCTTTTTTAAAAACGCAAAGCTCACATTCTGTGGGCTAAATGAACACACTGGCACATTTCCAGCACTTTACATAACCCAAAATCACAATATAAATAACTTTTATTTGCTATTTAATGTGTTTAAACTGACATTTTAGACCTCTTAAACAGTTTCCTATTTAAATATTATGAATCAAATACAGGGTTAAATTGAAACTAAGAGCACAATGAGTCATGTGCTTATACCCGTATGCTAAAGTTTGAACACCCCAGGCCAGATTACGTGTTTTGAAAGTGAAAATCAGTTCACACATGCAGAGAACACATTAAATTCAGCAAATAAACAGTAATTGTGCATTTAAATATGTGTTCTCTGAAGAGGATATTGTTTTGACTTATTTACACTTAAATCAACATGTCATTTGACCAGGGGCGCCCAAACTTTGTCTGTCAGATCCCAAATATTAACAGATAGATATACATTTGTATTAATAAGTTTGAGTCGGTTTGTTTTGATGTTCGTGACAAAAATATGGCAAAACAGGACAAAATACATGACTGTTCAGAAATTTGCAATCACTGTTCAGAAGGTTAAAGTCGATGTGTTTAATAAAATAAGATTTGGTTTCTGAAAAAAAAATATTTTAGTCCTGTACTCAGAGATTTTTAGTAATCAGTAGTTATAATGACTTTAGCATCTAAAATAAACCTCATATTTGAGAAATGGTGATCAGATCTTGAGAAAGGTAACTTGACAAAAAAGTTGTCGATAATAACTATTTTTATAAAAAGTTATATCCCAACATTATTCAAATATGCAGTAACGCACCTTTTGGTGTCTAGTTTATGATTAAAATCTACTCTAAGTTATTGTGGCTATAATAACAACATTTATTAATACATTCCAAATGTTTTAACAGTGTAACTTTTGATCAAATTTATATCATAATAATATTTCTCCTTTTTGACTAACAAACACAAATATGGTTGGGAATGAAAGTTTAGACTCTGCACTTTGACAATAATGAGTATAAAGCAGCTTTCAGGGCTCCAGACTCAGATACGACCGCAATGATTAATTTGCGACTAATAAAATTAAATCACCAGTGGTGACAGGTGACAGCAACTCTGGATAATTTTTTTCGTAAGTAACTATTAATTTCTATTGTTCTATATTTATTACCTTGTTTTTATGTATTTTTTAAAATAATTTTTCATCTTAAAACGTAATGGATAGGCTTTAGCGTCACATGGACACGTCCACCTTTAAAAAAAATGCCTGTGTGCTCATTAGATTTCAACCAGAGTGTGACAAACAAAGCAGAAGAGCCAAACTGAGCTTTTTGTAGTGAATGTCGGCGTGTAGAAAAAGTGAAAAAATCAGACTACATCTGTGTCAGACCTTAAGAGGTCATCTGCTGTTGAGCGGAGTGTCTCATGCATGCAAAAAAATAGCAGAGAAAGAATTCAAAGAGTTTAAAATCTAACTCAACACAGCCAACATGACAGCAAGAGAAGAACTACCCTTCACCAAAACCACCTCCCAAATTCATATGAAGACGTATGATAATATACAGGACAAGAATCAGGCAAGAGATGCTAAACCCTTGTGTGGTGTTGATGTTTTTTAAATCAATACAGTCATAACAATTTATGTAAAAATACCAGGTGTTTAAAATATCACAAGTGTCCAGTGTAGGGTTCTCCTTTAGCAGCTGTAGCCAGTCAGCAGCCTGTCCATGTTGTCCACCCTCACACACACACACACACACAGACACACACACACTAACAGCAGGCCATGTAGGAGGAGAACAGAGTGAAGGACACAGCACCTCCACACTTTTACTCCCCGCAGGTTCACCCAACACCACATGTGTAATATAAATGTGTGGGGGGTGAACAGAGTGAAGACAGTGAAAATGGGTTATTTTATACGTTCTTCACAGAAAATGAGCAAAGGACAAGAATCTGAGGTTGAAATGATAATAAATCATATATTTTTTTTCTTTTGGTAAACATTGGGGTCCCACAAACCCCAACGTCACCCAAGGGTTAAATCAAAGAGCTGATCTGAGGTGTGTTAAAAAGCTTTGTTTATTTTGCTTATTATTATTTGGCACTTAAACTATTGTTGCCTGATTTTTTTTCTTTTAGGAGTCAGTGGCCAGTTTGTTATTGCTGGCGATAATCGTGCCATCCGAGGGTTAACATTCATGCAGAGCTCTTTGTGTTGCTTTTTTACTGTGTGAATCTCAACAGGATGCTGCTCATGGGATTGTGGGTTGTTAATCATTGCTCTCTAGACTTCCTTTACATGTGTTTTCTTTTTGTTCTTGCTCTTTTTTAGGACCCATCCCTAACAAAATAGCGAGCTGGCTGAGAGAGTGCAGGTAGGACCCTGAACGCTTATGCAACTTTCCGCATTCAAATGCATGCGATGTCTGTCTGATGGAGCCGAGTTCCCAGTGTGACTTGAATGCCTCATGCTAGGTTAAACAAAGTGGTCTGATGTTTCTGTCAAGACTCCGGATGAGAAAAACACCCTCTTTCTCTTTCTGGGTGGCACTGTGTTATCGTCACTGACACGCTATAAATTTCAGACGGAGATGTGAAAGGCTTAACAGTTCTTTCTAACAGTCTGTGTGGAGATTTCCTGAGCAGCGAAGACATCTAGCCGTTTTCCTCTGGACTCTTGAAAGCACACTGAAATGCTACATTTAATTAAAAACCATGCAAATGTTTAGCAAAAGCAGCTCGGCGCTAATCCTTATTTTGCTTCAACACTCATCAAAGTGTCTTCTTTGGTATGAAGAGCAGGTTTTGTCTAAATAGTGATTTGACACTTTTCTTTTACAAACTATTTTAAAAGCACTCACTGAAGCTCCTTTGGTCCAAATGTGCTTTAAACACCTGAAGGATTTGAGTGCTGACATCACAACAAGGGGATAAAATGTATGGTTTTTGAATTTAATATCACTGCTGTCAGAAGAAAACATTGTACCTCCATTTTTGTCGTTTTTCAGTCTTTGTCATGATTTGAAAGTGTTTGTTGCTCTTTACATTGTGTGTAAATTTCATGAAGAATGGACCAAAAGAAGTGGCACAAAATGACTTGGAAAAAAGTCTGGTTCCATTGACTTACAGTAAAAATAAAGTAGGTTTTTTTCCCTCTCCTGTAAAGTTACTATTTTGGAGATACGAGGTTTTCTTCCGACAACAGTGATATGTTGAAAGAGAATTCCACCAACTTTTCAAAATCTCTGCATAGTTTGTTGATGAATCGTGAGTGTTTTAGTCATTTAAAGTGGTTTGGTGTGAAATGCTTCATTGTAGAGATTCAGATTTCTTTACAGTGGTGGTGATAACCAGGGGGTCGCCATGACTACAACACAAATATAGGCATTTTATTTACTATCCAAAACCACCAGTGAACCTACACGAGTCTTCTGACCTTTTATATGTAATGTTGATGATGGTTAAAAAGTCATAATCTGAAAAAAAATATCTTCTCTTTGGGGACTATTTTGCCTTGGAGCATCCTGCATGTGACCCTCTGCCATGAATATATTTTAAATTGATATGTTTTAGGCCAAACCTTTCTCAAAACTGTTGTAAAACAGTGTCTCAGGCAACACAAAGTGTATTCATAACCATTTCATGTAGTAACTGCCTGCGAGGGAGCTTTTAGAGGTGGACGTCTGGTTCCTGTCACCACCACAAGTTTCTCTAGAACGAAGCATTTCACACCAAACCACTCTGAACGACTTAGCGGTTTAACTGTGAGTACATTCTGAAATATTGGTGGAATTCCCCTCCAAGGTCTTGCAAGCTAACTAAGAAATAAAAAAAAATGCAGTTTGAAAAGCTAGGTGTCCTCAAACGTTTGATAGACAGCGTAGTTTGTGCGATGTAGGCTGAAAGTGTCCTTTTTTGGTCTCTCTTGCACAGTCAAGGCTCTGTTGCTCCTCCGCTTAGAAGTTACATTGACAGAAGTAGTGCAAAACAGCAGCGTCTGGCTGTCCAAAGGCCATGACCTGTTTGAGGCCTCTACTGAACTCATAAAATGGAGTTATTGCACAGTGTATAGCAAACACTGCATAGCTTTTCTTGTGCTGTGATCTCAGGCACACTAATCTACAGAGGCATTTATTTGAGTGCATACATTTTTTCTAGTAATTGTAGATGTGATTATTGAGACACTCTAAAATGCATAACATTGGGGGAAAAGCTTACTGTGGCTTAATGTAATACAACAATGACCTAGAAACATAGAAACACCAAGTTCCTCTCATATTATTGCTCATAAACACCACCTGCTGCTGAAAGGATGATTTCCTTATCTCAGGAGAAAGCAGTGTTACTACATTAAATTACCGTCTTACTATTGAAATGATAATGCTCATTTTCATCTTAGCATCAAGCTAACGGTGCCACACGTTTGTTTTCCTACACTGCTTAAAGCAGATCTAACCAAAAATATGGTCTTTTGAAGGGTATAGGAATGTATCGTTGCTGTCCAAGGAAAATTTGTATCTCTATATCATTTGATCGTGGCAGCTGTTCTTTACATTATATCAAAATTTCAGGAAGATTAATGCTCCAAAATTGCTTTGGATAAAATCTTTTCACATTAACTTACATTGAAGCTGAAGAATGTTTTTGCCCTCTCCTGTAAAGTTACCATTTTGGAGATACTTGTTTTATTTTAATGGAGTGATTTAGCCTGTTTGCTATCTTTTTGGCCTGTTTAGCTTTCCATCCTTGACCTAGTTCAGGGGTTGGCAACCCGAGCCATTTTGTCCTTTCAGGAAAAATCAAACCACCTTGGGAGCCACAACATCTAATGTCCATTTTACCATCTTGGCTGTAAATATGTCTCAGTATGTGATAATGTACTAGTATAGGCTAACAAATATAATATAGACAAAAACAGACTTACTTTGCTCTGCTTTAAGCTTTAGTTCAGCTATAGCCGCTTTTCTCACATCTCCAGCAGGAAACTTTTCCACAAAAGTGGAACAGTTTCTTGTAAAATGTCTCTCAATGTTCGACTTTTTAGGAAGCTGAAGTCGCTTCTCATTCGCCAGCTTCTTGTTCGAATTTTCCCATTCCACCTTAAATGGTGCCTGAGGCCCCAGAGTGTAACTGCTGCATCATTTAATGGAAATAGTGCCTGCTGCCTGCTACGCCATTTAAGGTGGAACAGGAAAATTTGAAGGAGAAGCTGGCGAATGATAAGCGACTTCAGCTTTGAGACTTTTTAGTGTTTGTCAGTTTCTCATTGCAGATTAAACGTATCAGGAAACCAGCTGGAGTGATTATAAACATAGATAAGTCCATTAGTCTCCAAATTATCGATGTTCATCTTAAATCTCTCTCTTTGCCGTTTCGTTAGCTACTATCTAGATGAGATTGTTGTCTGTGTTGCTATAGTGACCAGCGGCCTGTGCTTCAGGGTTAAAGGGTGAATTAGCAGTTCTACATTAACTCCAGAGTTTAAGACCATTTATTGTTAAACTGTGTTGAACGATCAGCAGAGCTTTATTTTACTGTAAAGGAGGATTATTTTATTTTTACCTACAAATCTGATTCTGCTGTGGAGCCACAACAGGGCAGTAAAAGAGCGGCATGTGGCTCCGGAGTCATATGTCGTCGACCCCTGACCTAGTTGTTTAGAAAATTTAATAGTCAGACCCTCAGCTTAAGCTGAACTAGGTTCTTACTTCATCCAGCAGTTCACTTGATGATCCATGTGAGCAGCAAAACACTCCATTTACAATGCAGTGCTTTTAGTTCCTTGACGTATTAAATCAAAATTCAGTTGTTGTGAGGCTTTCAAAGGTGTGTGAGGTAGTGTTCTAAAGCAGCTTTGAATGCAGCTCGGCCAATCAGATTTTAGAATGGATCAATTTTGAAAAGTATGTTGAGCCACAATAGGGTCTTTATAAGTTTTAACATTGAAGTAGAACTTAACATGAATAATATAATATTGGGCTGCAGTTTTGCTCTTTAGGCAGTAAACAGTGTTTATAACCAATAATATGTGAGAAAACTTTCTAGATTAGTACATCAACCCACGTTAAAGAGGTGTTTCCTTGTTATGGGTTTTAATGCAGGGTAAAATGTTTTCTCTGTTTCTGGTGGCAGTTTGTCAAACGTTTGATTTAGTATGTCGGAATATTGACAGTTTCTCAAAATGTTCACTTATTTCCTGAACACAGTGGCTAATTTCTCAAAATACTGACTTGTTATGCAGAAATAATGATTTATTTCCTCAAAATTATGACTTAGTATCTCAAAATAGTGACTTTCTTAAAATTTTCACATAGTATTTCAAAATATTTTGACTTAACAAGCCATTGTTTTGACAAATTATCTCCAAATTTAAAGATTTTGAATTATTAAGATGAAATTATGAAATAATGAGTTCAAGTTCAAGAAAGTAAGTAATTATTTTGCCATGTTAGGTCAAAAGTTGAGAAAATTAGTTGAAAAAGTCATAGTATTGACATACTGCTGCCGGAAACAGAGAAGGTGGAAAAAACATCAGCAATTTTTCTATTCCACATTTCCATAGTGGCCAGTAGTATGTTTGAGAAAGTTGATGGTTCTCGGTCAGGGGTCAGCAACATGCGGCTCTTTTACTACTCTGTTGTGGCTCCACAGCAGAATCAGATTTTTAGGTCACCACAGCAACACAGACAACAGCCTAGCTAGTAGCTAACGAAAAGACAAAGAGAAAGATTTAAGATGAACATCGATAATTTGGAGATGAATGGACTTATTTGCATTTATAATCACTCCAGCTGGTTTCCTGATACGTTTAATCTGCAACGAGAAACTGTCAAACACTAAAAAGTCACGAAGACGAAGTCAGTTTCTCGTTTGCCAGCTTCTTGTTTGAATTTTCTCCTTCCACCTTAAATGTTGCAGCAGTTACACTCTGTTTGGAAAAAGTAAAACAAGAAGCTGGTGAATGAGAAGCGACTTCAGCCTCGTAAAAAAATCAGACATTTAGAGACATTTTATAAGAAATTATTCTACTTTTGTGGAAAAGTTTCCTGCCGGAGATGCGAGAAAAGCGGCTATAGTTGAGCTAAAGCTTAAAACAGAGCAAAGTAAGTCTGTGTTTTCGTTCATATTTTTAGTCTGTACAAGGACATTAACACATACTGAGACATATTTACAGCCAAGATGGTAAAACGTTCCTTCGGTAAAATGTAAACTATATAAAATATAAACTATATAAAAAATAAAATATAAAACATAAAGTGTTTGTGGCTCACAAGGTGGTTGTTGTTTTAAGGTGGTTGTTGTTTTAAAACAAAGCCACATTGTTTGGACGTTTAGTGTTTTGGAATGCTGCTGATTGTTTAGTCAAATTTTGTGGAGTTGCGTAAAATCTCCCTTGTGCTCATGTGATCGGGACAAACATGCGGTGAGCAGGTGGGGGCTGATGTTTGAGGCTCCGTGCCCCACACTAAGTCAATAAAGCATTCCTCCGCTATCACTGCCTGGTCCCCGTGCCTCCGTCTTATCAGCAATTTGCTACAAGACACTTGCGTTCTCATTGCTGGAGTGACAGTGGACATATGGGTGTCTCTCTGAGCTGGAGTTTGATCCGTATCCGGAGTTGCAGCGGCCTTGCCGTTGTGTAACATGGCTAGTGCATAGTGCACTGGGAACGTATATGTGTGAGGTGGACTCAGGTGTGTGTGGATGAAGGTTTCAGCAGAGAATGACGGCAGCGTCCTGTAAGTGTAAACACCTGGGAGCGGGTAAACATTTAGTTATGCTAAAAGTTTATGTATGTACGCTAATGTCTGCAGTATGTTTCCTTATTGTGTGCGTGTTTATACGGGTGTGGGTTTGCACGTTACTGTTGGCACTTGAGGATCTGATGGTCATGCAGTTAAGCCTGAGGTTGAGTTAAAGTCTCATTATAATATATATTACAGTAATTTGTAATTATGCTGAGTACATTTGCGTGCTTGCGCTACGACGAGTACTGTTTTGTACGTAACATCAGTGGACAGCAGTAGGTGCCTATGTGCGGGACGGGGGAAATGGAACAGCTGTGAGTTTTCTGGATGGGCTTTAGTGTGTTGTGCGACAGTATGTATTGTATTGACTGTGAGTATGGTAGTGTTTTGTGGGGACTCTGTGTAGTAGTGTTTTGTGAGAATTGTGTGATAATCTTTTGTGATGTCTCTGTGTTAGTGTTTTCTGAGAACTGTCTTTGTATGGTAGTGTTTTGTGGGGACTGTGAGTATGGCAGTGTTTTGTGGGGACTGTGAGTATGGCAGTGTTTTGTGGGGACTGTGAGTATGGTAGTGTTTTGTGGGGACTCTGTGTAGTAGTGTTTTGTGAGAATTGTGTGATAATCTTTTGTGATGTCTCTGTGTTAGTGTTTTCTGAGAACTGTCTTTGTATGGCAGTGTTTTGTGGGGACTGTGAGTATGGTAGTGTTTTGTGGGGACTGTGAGTATGGCAGTGTTTTGTGGGGACTGTGAGTATGGCAGTGTTTTGTGGGGACTGTGTGATAATTTTTTGTGATGTCTCTATATAGTAGTGTTTTGTGAGAACTGTGTTTGTGTGGTAGTGTTTTGCGGGGACTCTGTTGTAGTGTATTGCTGGGATTGCGTGTGGTAGTTTTTTATGGGGACTCCATGTGTGACAGTGTTTTGTGGGGACTTTGAATGTGGTTAAAGTTTGTGTGATAATGTTTTGTGGGGTCTGTATACATAGGAGTGTTTTGTGGGGTCTGTATACATAGGAGTGTTTTGTGGGGTGTGTATTTGTGTGATAGGGTTTTGTGGGGTCTGTTTATGTGTGATAGGGTTTTGTGGGGACTGTATTTGTGTGATAGTGCTTTGTGGGGTCTGTTTATGTGTGATAGGGTTTTGTGGGGTTTGTATTTGTGTGATAGTGTTTTGTGGGGTCTGTTTATGTGTGATAGGGTTTTGTGGGGTTTGTATTTGTTTGATAGTGTTTTGTGGAGACTGCATTTGTGTGATAGGGTTTTGTGGGGACTGTATACATAGGAGTGTTTTGTGGAGTCTGTGTTTGTGATAGTGTTTTGTGGAGTCTATGTTTGTGTGATAGTGTTTTGTGGGGACTGTATACATAGGAGCGTTTTGTGGGGTCTGTGTTCATGTTATGGACTTGCGAGGACCGTGTATGGTAGTGTTTGGTGGAGACTCTATGGTAGTGTTTTGTGGGGACTGTCTGGTAGTGTTTTGAGAGGACTGTGTATGGTAGTGTTTGGTGGAGACTATGGTAGTGTTTGGCGGGGACTCTGTCTGATAGTGTTTGGCAAGGACTTTGTATGGTAGTGTTTGGCAGAGACTCTGTATGGTAGTGTTTTGTGGGGACTCTGTATAGTAGTGTTTGGCGGAGACTCTGTATGGTAGTGTTTTGTGGGGACTCTGTATGGTAGTGTTTTGTGGGGACTCTTTATGGTAGTGTTTTGTGGGGAATCTTCATAGTCGTGTTTGGCGGAGACTCTGTATGGTAGTGTTTTGTGGGGACTCTGTATGGTAGTGTTTTGTGGAGACTCTTTATGGTAGTGTTTTGTGGGGACTCTTTATGGTCGTGTTTTGTGGGGACTCTGTATGGTAGTGTTTGGAGGACACTCTGTATGGTAGTGTTTTGTGGGGACTCTGTATGGTAGTGTTTTGTGGGGACTGTGAGTATGGTAGTGCCATTTAGTGTCTCTTAGTGTCTTGTGGAGCTTTGGGTGTTTTAATGTGTGTTTGTGCGCTATGTGCCATTGTGTTCTTATGTGTAACATTGTTAGGTGACGTGTGTGTGTGTGTGTGTGTGTGTGAATGTCCACAGGACTCCTCTTGGAGCCTCCCTGGATGATCAGTCCAGCAGTCCGTCCAAAGGTGAGTGACACTTCCATTGCAACAGGATCATTCTCACAAAACCACCTCAAACCATAAACATTTGAGTTTCATAATCATCAGGCAGAGATACATAGTTAGTTGATCAGTCAGCACTCTGTATATAATATTTATTTTTCCATTTTAAAGTTTTTTTGTTTGTTTGTTTAACCCTTATTCTTATTACTGCAGTAGACCATCCATGCGTATACTGTAAGTTGTAATGTTTAGCTTTAAAAATACTTAGTCCCACAAGTTTATGAAGTTTGGTCCTAACACAGCTTATGAAAAGAAAAGTGCAATATTCACAGATTTATCTTCAGGACTGTATTTCAGTAATGAGGATTTGAAAAATGTAAGTGACCAAAATCAGTTATATATATGGCATTGTTTGTATATGGCATCTCATGACTGTGAGAATAACCCAGCTGTGTGTGTGTTATATTGTGTAATTGTGGAATTGGTTTAATGCATAAATGGTTCTTGCATAAATTATTATTATTATTATTTTTTTTTATTTATTTATTTATTTTTTTCTCTTTCTATATTCTGTCATTTTTTGCTTGACAGATGTGAAGACAGTAAAACAGTAGTGTTTACCAATTTTTTTTATGTAAAAGGCTGTGAAGTGTTATTGCATTATTTATATATATATATATATATATATATATATATATATATATATATATATATATATATATAAGGGGAGGGAATCTTTAGACACCTCACGATTTGATTCGATTACGATTCAGGGCTGCGATGCGATTATAAAACGAATATCGATGCATCTTTTTTCTTTATACATGATTTCTATCTTCCTTCTGTCTGAGGACTTGGTAGTTTTAAAGCAAAGTATTTGTAATGATCCATAATGTAAATGCATTACGGATCATTACAAATACTTTGCTTTAAATATCTAAAATATCTTTAATTAATAAATCAAATGGAGGTGATGTGGCAAGTGAACTAGAAGAGACTAGAACTAGAAGAGATTTTCGAGACTGGATGCTGAATCTCAGCTCCAAAGTGTGCAGCGTAGCGCGAAAGCCCTGGTTCTCAACGACTGAGAACAGACAGCTTCTCTTTCGTATTTTCCCGTTCCACTTTAAATGGTGCAGCATTCGGCGCCTAAGGCAGAATTTAAGGTGGAACGGGAAAATTAGAACGAGAAGCTGGCGAATGAGAAGCGACTTCAGCCTCGTAAAACAGCCGGACGCTGAGAGATTTTACAAGAAACTCTTCTAGTTTTGAGGAAAGGTTTTCTGGTGGAGATGGGAGGAAAGCGGCTAAAGCTGAAGCTTAAAGCAGAGCGAAGTAAATCTGCGCTCTCGTTTGTATTGTTTAACCTATACTAGGACATTAACACATACTGAGACATACTGGACATTAAATGTTGTGGCTCCCAAGCTGGTTTGACTTTGTTGAAAGGCAAAATGGCTCTTCTTATCATTCTTATCGCTGCGCTTACCCACTTCCAGTTCCGCCTTTTGCGTTCCGTCAACATTACGTTATAAATTAAATATTTAGAAAATCGATTTTTGACGTCGAATGAATTGATTCAGAATCGTTCACGTCCGCATCGCGATGCATCTAAGAATCGAGTTTTTCCCGCACCCCTAATATATATATATATAATCATTATAATTATTATTATTATTATTATTATTATATTATTATTACATATAAAAGTGTATTTATAGTCAACTAAGTGTAGAGGTGGCAGTATCAGATTGTCTGCTAGACTCAGTCCAGATTTATGTAGCAGAACAAAGCTCACTTTACAGTTTACACCCTGTTTTTCAGGTCATGGTAAAATGCTTCTCCAGCTCTCGCTGCAGAATAGAATGATATTCATGTTTCTCAATTTGTATCCTGTGGTAACAGAATTGGAGTTTTGAGGCCTCATTTATAGCTCAGACCTGTTAAAAGACAGAAAATTCTGTAAAAGACTGATGTTCTGCTCTCTGGTTCAGAAATCTGTTATGGAGTGGAGGTTGGTGATACGGCAAAAGTGTAACACTACAATACTTCAAGAAGTTTGTCATAATATTTTTTTTTCCAGATGTCTGAAAAATGCTTTGTTTTGAACATTTCACACACTGAGCTGCAACAAATGCAACTAAACAGGACTAATTTTGCTCTCTTTGCAGTTTCGAAGTGTTCAAAGTACTGACAATATCCATGATATGAATATTGTGACATCATTTTCATGATAATTATAAAAAATGTCATATTGCTCTATTATGTAGTCTGCCTTGATTTGCTAGCCCTAAGTGGTAGATCTAGAGGTGGGTGACATGTTAACAATGTAATATCACAGCCCTCAAGAAGTTTTTACGATACATGATATGTCTTCATATTTATTTTTTCTGACATCTGATAGTTTGAAACAGACAAAGTAGCACCACATTTAAAAAGGCAGGTCAAAAACTATGAATTTGATGATTCAACATTGTGCACTACAATTAAACAGTCCACTTAAACAGGACTAATTATGCTCTCTTTGTAGTCAAACATGCAGTTGGGAAGTGTTTTAAGCACTCAAGATATCCACGATACGCTCAGTAAAGCAGGTTGTGGTGTAATTTGTTACAATAATAATAAATCCTGACATGTTGCCCATAGTTGGACCTAGCTAACTGTCGCTGTTTGGAGGGTTGCTTACTAAACTGAGTCTCCCTCTAATTTAGGGAGAGTTCATGGGTGAAAGCTGTAATGATCCTTATCAACGTCAGTGTTCCTGAACTATGCAAGGTCTCTCCACTCCCCAACGCTATAATGACTAATAGATCTTTGTGTTAATAGAATTCCCTTCTAAGGAGTTTCTCTGGAGGAAACCGGGTGCACAGCTCCATTTATAAACTTTAAAGCCTAATCACAGTGTAGTAAACATCTGCTGGACTCAGTGTTTATAAGACTGAATTACTTCTAGAGCCTTATCGCTCTTTCAGCTGGCTGCAGCTTTTATTAAGGACAGTTTGGATATTTCTGGCCAGTGTAACTAATCATGTTTCTGTATTTGTCTGTTGATGCTAATCATGGTATTGATCTGTTTGTAAGTATTGTTGTATGCAAAACTTTGGGCACCCCTGGTCAATGACATATTTTGTTGATTTTCTGAGTGTAAGTTACACATCCTCTACAGAGAACACACTTCAGCTCATTTTAATGCACAGATACTTTAATTAATGACTTTCTATTTATTTGCTGAATTTAACATATTGTGGGGGAAAAAAATTAACATAATAGGAGTGGTGCAAATTTATGGCACAATTAATATTTTATGCTTTATTTTTTTCCAATATGCCTAAGAAATTGTGCGGTAAAGTTAGTGGAAAAATTAAAAATGCCATATTTAAAGCTGCACCATGTGAGATTTTTTGGTTACAACTGAAAGAAGTATCATTACTGAGTGAGGAGAATAGAAACAAGATAAAAACAAACTAAAATATGTGAGCGTACGCCGCAGTGAGTCGCCAAAGCCTGAAATAATCATGTAAAAGTCAGAGGCGTTGGGTTGGGAGTTTTTCAGACCAAGTCATACGTCATTATTAATGACATACGCACAGGCTCAAAAAGAAGGTCCGGCTCGATGTTTAGGTTTCAACTACAAAATCAATATTATACTGATGAAGATATGATGACAAAAATAGATAATACACTCGCATCCTCAGAAAACCATCCCTCAGTTCTCTTTGAATTCTTTTTCAACGCACTCACAATCATCAGATTCATCCACTTGGGGAAGGGGTCCGAAGCACAACCCACGTAGCAAAATGTTCTTCCACACAATGTGTGCAGTGACACATCTCCACCAGAGAGGTCTCCAAATCCCCAAAGTTTACATAGTGCAGCTCTAATTGTGTTCCGTGAAGAGGATGTATTAACTTATTTTCACTTAGAAAATCAACAAAACGTAGATTTGACCAGGAGAATTCGAGCTTTTGCATGCGATATGATATGAAACACTTTATTGTCAGATTTCTCTGAAATTTTTCTTGCATCGTTGCAGCTTCATGGGAAAATAGGGGGTAGGGGGAGGGAATGATGACTTTCACAAACAATCAGACAAACACAAACGTTCAAATTAACCAAAACAATACACTTTACACGATCACCATACTCCACTATACACCCTACGACCCGATATCTGTGTATTTCTACCTGAGCACTTATCTAAACAACTTTATTCATCTTATTTTTAATACTAAGAATACATTTTTGGCCTAATTATCTTAATACAGAGGGTGCTGTTAAAGTCTTAATAGCAGTACGGTACAACAATAGTGCCATATTTATAATCTTTTGTCTGTAAAAGGGGGGTATAGCTTGCTGGAAATAATAAAACAAAAATGCCCCCTTTTTTAGGATTAAAATTCTGGAATAAGCATTTTCATTTTAGTGTTCTGAGGTTTTTTCAGCCATTTCTATTCTGAAACCTCAAATTAAGCCAAATAATCCATTAACCCAATTCCCACTGCACTTCAATCAGAGGATCATGCAGCGTTGACTCACTAATAGCTTTTCCACAAGCAGACAGAGGCAGTGTCACTCAGTATCTACTGTAACTCCAGTGAACTCCGTGAACCTGTTATTATATTTACAGAACAACACTACAGCAGTAGGAAGTGTCCTGATCTGCAAAGTGCTGCTTTCACTCAAGATCCTAAAGATGTGCTTTTGTTTAGCTTTGAATTTAGTTTTAGGTTTAACTGTATTATTTACTGAAATATGTAGTTCACTGGAAACCCCCATAAAGACAGTAAAACAAAAGCGTAAGTGTGTCTGAGTGCGAGTGTGGGTTTAGTCATGTTCAGGTCGTGACTCTAGATGTGTTTGTTTTCATTGGCATCCCAGACAAAAACTCCCCTACTGCATTGTTCCTGTCTTCAGCTTTCATCAGAAATGCCATCATTTCTCAGCTAACTTTAGTGACATTTGGTTCCAGTTTTTGCTGGGAAACACTCCACCTTTCTTCAGTATGTGAACCACACAGTGTAAAT